GGCCCCCTAAGATAACCACCTGCTTCGGTTTGGGCACCCGGGCAGTATCACAGCCCACACACAAATTGATGAACTCTTTATGCCTACGGAAATTACCTTTCTTGCTTTGAAAAACAAACAATTGATTCAGATTATTATCATTACAATTATTGTCATTATTAATACTGTTATTATTATTACTAGTATTATTGTCATATTTTATTATATTATTATTATTATTATCATTATTATTATTATTTTCCACATTACTCACCCTCTTTTATACTTATACAGCGGCTCGTCTTTGGCGGAAATCCGACTGTATCTATACGTTCTCGAGTCACTGTCCGGTTGAAAATTGTATGTTACCACCGAATACGAGGACTGAAGCAGATTTTCTGAAACCACGTGCACCATTCAAACTGGCTGCCTTCAACGTTCGCACATTTATGCAGGTCGGACAACAGATAGGGCTGGCTATGTCTTTGGAAAGTCTTAATATCGACGTGTGTTGTCTATCCGAGACCCGTATTCAAGACTCTGGCGAAGTACTACAAATTCGATCTCCATCTGTCGCTTCGAAAAGCTTGTTTTACGTGCGCTTATCCGGGGACCCTGTGGCATCTTCGTCTGGTCTTGCTGGCGTTGGTGTCGCACTAAGCGCTAGAGCTGAGGCAGCACTAGTCGATTGGATCCCCATTAACAGTCGGTTATGTGCTGTTAGATTAGAAAGTTCCATCAAAGTGAGAAGAAATCGGCGTGAGAAACGATGTCTTTTCGTCATCTCCGCCTATGCCCCGACAGATTGCAGCCCGGATGCAATCAAGGATGAGTTTTACCACCAGTTATCAGTTCTTCTCCAGAAAGTGCGTTCGACAGATATTGTAGTACTAGCCGGAGACTTGAATGCTCAGGTCGGGCGTCTAGGCACAGAAGAGAGTCGTTTAGGTGGCCGATGGGGACTCGTTGGTCGCAGGTCAGATAACGGGGACCGTCTACTGCAACTTTGCACAGACCACAACCTGTTTCTGGCTAGCACTAACTTTCGGCACAGTCATCGCCGATGTGCCACCTGGCGTCCTCCCTCTGCATCTCAAGCCTGGACTCAGATTGATCACATCGCGATCAGCTACCGCTGGCGTGGTTGTGTACAAGACTGCCGCTCCTTTTGGAGTACCTATCTGGACTCTGACCATGCCTTGGTCTGCGCCAATCTTACCTTACTTTTCAGTGGACAACGAAGTGAACGCCATCAACGGATTGATGTTAGCAAGCTGGTTGCAACTTCTGTTGCAAGTAAGTATCGAACCGAGCTAGCCTCTAGGCTAGCTACCACTCCACCGAAAAGTATAGATGAGCATTGGTTGCAATTGCATGACGCCATGAAAATGGCGGGAACAGTCAGTTGTGGGTTTGCGAAACGTCCCGCTTTAAGCACTGGGTTTCTTCTGGTTCCTTACAACTCATTGAAGCCCGTCGGTCTACTCCGGGTGACCGTGAGTTTGACCATAAACGAAGGATGTTACGTAAGGAAATTGGGCAAAGCTTGCGTAAGGACCGAGAAGCCTGGTGGTCGATGCGTGCTAATGAGCTGGAAGCAGCAGCTGCATCTGGTAACTACCGGAAGCTCTTCCAGCTCATCCGAGCCACTGGCAGCAAGAAGTCTGGTGTGAGTGAAACAATCTGCGAGGATGATGGGATGCCAATCACTAACATCCATCGACGTCTTGGACGATGGGCAGAATTTTTCGAAGGGCAGTTCAACTGGCCTGCTGCTCCGGCAACATCGGTCAGACTGTCCTGCCCTCCATGGCCGGTGACGACTGATCCACCAAATGAGGAGGAAGTCCGCAAGGAACTCCAACTCTTGAAGCGTTACAAATCACCTGGCCCAGATGACTTACCTCCGGCTCTTTTTAAAGATGGTGGTGACTTTTTGACTAAGGAATTGACGACGTTGTTTACAAAGGTTTGGGAACTAGAGTGTGTACCAACGTCATGGAATGAGTCGATAGTTGTCCCTATCTTTAAAAAGGGTTCACGTCGTTCTTGTAACAACTATCGGGGGATAAGTTTACTTCCGATTGCGTCCAAGCTATTGGCTTCCGTCATTCTTCGTAGGTTGTTCAAAACCCGAGAAAGATTGACTCGCGAGGAGCAGGCTGGGTTTCGTTCTGGTCGAGGATGTATTGATCATATCTTCACCCTCCGCCAAATGTTAGAACACCGCCATACTTTTCAAAGGCCAACAATCGTAGTGTTTCTTGACATCAGGGCTGCCTTCGATTCGTTGGACAGGACTGTTCTCTGGGATTGTCTATTGAAGAAGGGTGTGCCTGAGAAGTTTATTAACATCCTAAAAGCCCTATATAAAAACACCTCAGGCAGAGTGAGGGCATACAACCACCTCTCTCCATTGTTCCATTCGAGCAGTGGGGTTAGGCAGGGTTGCCCAATCTCACCATTCCTCTTCAACTTTGCCATCGATGACATTCTGGAAACAGCTCTGATGAATGTAAGTAATGGTGGTGTGGATCTGTTGCCTGGAGAAAGACTTCTCGACCTTGAGTATGCGGACGATATTGTCTTACTGTGCGATAATGCCCAAGGCATGCAATCCGCACTTAATCAGTTGGCAATCAGTGTCCGTAGGTATGGTATGTGCTTTGCACCTTCGAAGTGCAAAGTACTTCTACAAGACTGGCAGGATTCTAATCCTGTACTCACCCTGGACGGTGAGCAGATAGACGTAGTTGAGAAGTTCGTGTATCTGGGTAGCTGCATAAGTGCTGGTGGGGGTGTGAGTGATGAGATCAATGCACGAATAGTGAAAGCCAGAGCGGCTTATGCCAATCTGGGCCACCTTTGGCGCCTTCGTGATGTTAGTCTGGCTGTAAAAGGTCGGATCTACAACGCGTCGGTGAGAGCAGTTTTGCTCTATGCTTGTGAAACCTGGCCTCTCCGAGTTGAGGACGTTAGACGACTCTCTGTGTTCGATCATCGCTGTCTCCGAAGGATTGCTGACATTCAGTGGCAACACCATGTCAGTAATGCAGAGGTTCGGCATCGTGTGTTCGGGCACAGAGATGATAACTCAATTGGTGTCACCATCTTGAAACACCGACTTCGGTGGCTTGGACATGTTCTCCGAATGTCGTCCCAGAGAATTCCACGTCGTGCATTATTTGCCGACTCTGGGACTGGTTGGAAGAGGCGGAGAGGTGGTCAGTGCATGACATGGTGTCGTGGCATGAAAGAAAGCTGCAAAGGACTGGCTTGTGTTGGTCCTTCACGACTCCCTGGTTGGGGTCCGAGAGATGGTGCTACACAGTGGCTAGAGACGTTATCAGATATGGCTCAGAATAGAAGCCAGTGGCGATCCTGCTGTAACCTTCTTTTACTTTCTTTCATAAAAAGTGGTTGTGTCTCCTTTACCTGAAAGATTTCTTCTGATTGTACCTTTTCGTTCCGTCGTTACTACCACACTACCTTACTCCAATCTCTTCGTCATTGTTCTCTTTTTCTTTTGCGTTCCCTAGTTTTTTTTTCTTTCTATTTCTCTTCGAATTTTCATTGTTTTGTGTGGCGCATATATATTGGCGCTCTCTTGTACCAATATTTATGTGTTCAAATAAAATAAAATAAATACATGAGGATTCAGTAGAGAAGTGGATAACGCTATGGAGTTTGAGGCGAAGGTCACTGGGTTCGAGTCCCGGACTAGTCATCATTTTTGGGATGCTGGTTCATCCAGCTGACGAAACGCGCATCCTGGATTTCATTGCTAGCCACTATCCAACTTTGCTTATAATAACTTTAGATACATTTTCTCTTTCACTTTTTTTATTACGACATTCCCAACTTTTAAATAGCTTAGTGAAAATTCCAGTTTCGACATTCAACAAAATGGCAAATAAAGAGAGATTTCTTTTCAATGATTTCTTATATTGGCTTTATAAATTTTGTTATTCACTTCTAACTTTTATTTGTATTCTTTTAAATCTTGTATACGGAGGTGGTTATCATGTAGTCGGCAAAACTTGTTTTATTTGTTAATAAGTTAATTCATCTAACTAGCTGACCTCATCAATTATGTAAATTAAAAATGTACACACCAAGTGTGCAAAAAGTAAATTTAGTATAAGTAAACATCAAGAGATACAACAGACATACTAATTGGGTAAATGTCGCAGATGAGAAAACCATGCCATGTTACATATTAATTATATACTTTTATCTATCTTGCTGTTGTCTGATGGTTACAACACTTAGCATTCAGTGACTATATAGAGGGTTAAAACCTTGTTACCGTCATCATTTGGTTCAAGTGGTTGAAGAATATTGCTAAACTTCATAGAAACAGCGTAATTACATCAATCTGCATTTTTAAAAAGCTCATTTCATTAAATTTAACTCCTTATCTGCAGTGATTATTGAGTAATATTCATAATATCCACAACCACATACCGGAAATTGTCATGTGCTCACTGGTGACTAACTTCAGGAGGCGATTTGCGGAGTTCTAGTGAGGAGCCATGACCAGTGGAGCTAGTCCGTGTCGAGTGTGAACCAGTTATCTACTAAAGATAATGAAACATAGTCATGCAGTGTAGTGGAATGATTGAGGTTAGACATTAACACTGTTAGTACTCTAGAAGTTAAGCGTTCGTGCTCGAGACCTGAGGTTTTGGATCTGAGTCTCGCGTGCGGGATCGTGCATGGGCTCTGCTGAACAGTCCCATACTAACACAAACGGCAGTCCAGTTCTTCCAGGCTTTTAATGGTGGTTTAACTTGAATCGATTCATCATTTCAGCAACTATCCATATTAATGACAATAACAATCAATGTGTTCTTTTTTTTAGCTCCTACCATCTTATAAGGGCAAATTTCCTCTAATAACCAACATATTCATTCTTATATGTGATCATAGTCTACAATAGTGCATTGAATTATGAATGAACCCTGAACGAAATAAGAATCAAATATGTTCAATATTGATAAAAGATGTCAATGACTCACCTTTATTACATTATCATTTGCATGACAAAATGAGCAAGACAAAAAGTCAGAAGTTAATAAATTCATCAACTGTTCTTGTTTATTACAAGAATTATCGATAACTTTTGTTGATATTAAAGCATGATCTGTAGTATTCAATGTTGATATTGTCGATGACATGGATGCTATTTCAATAGATGGTGTTCGACTGGAATGTTCTGAATAAGAGCAATTTGTCTCTTGATCAGATCCAATATCATTTTCATCATTAATTATTACATTCTCCTCAAAATTCAACATTATTATAATAGTAATAATGAATAAAAACACTACAATTAAATTTAAAGTGTGAAATTCAAATATTACGCTTATGTCTGATAAACACTATGGTGATTTATATTTACTGTTAAACTTAAAAGGTTTAATTTAATAATCATTCTTTATTGGTTTTTAAAGCACTTCAATGTTATCAAGTAACCAGTAATTAACTAAATACATATTAATTTGATTTTTGTTTGAATCAAACATTTATTTGAATGAAAATAAATTTATGCTGGTCACATCCCCCTACCGTCACCTCCATTGAAGAATGATATTTTGATTAGCTAAACAGAAATAAATATGTTACACACAATATAATTAATACCAAAATGCTCATAGATATACAACAATATGGATGTTTAAAGATTGAATGAAAAGTCTCATTATGACTAAAAAAAAATTGTAAGAAATAGAGATAAAAATAATGACAATAGCAACACTAGTAAATCGGTAAATGATTGTATCTAAGTTTACTTATCTTCTTTTTCCAATTATCTTGTCAATCAATAATTCTTAGATTTGAATGGTTAATTCGCGCCAAATTCTGGGATTTATTTGTTTGCCTATATATATATATATATATATATATATATATGTTAATGTTTCTTTTTCTTTCTTTTGGAACAACCAACATCTGTTATGTAAATAAATGAAAACGGAATGATTATCCATTGCAAATCAGATTTGTAATTTTTGAAAATAAAATATGACAAACGTCGATATTTAACTGAACAACTTTTTTTTGAGAGATAAGGCATTTATTCATTTGAAATTCAGCTGTGTTTTAAATTTGCTTTGATATTTCTATATTTATTTCGGATTAGGATCTTCACTAGTGTTTTTCTGAAGAGTGTTAAAATTTGGTGTAAAAATTCTTCGCTAAAAATTAAAAAATATGCTTGTTCAACACGTTATAAACTCTGATTTTAAGTATCTTAAGACATTTCCGACCACGGTCTACCTTTAGCTGGTGAATCATTAATTAACGAAGAAGCACCGAGCAGCTACCTTCTCCGAAACCGGAACGATTCAGTAGCACATACCTGCGGTCTACAGGGGAATCACTGAGTTAAAAATCGATGGTTAATAAACTCAGTAAATTCGCTCTGGTTTTAGGGTAATACACTTGCTATAAGCCTTTAAAGTCCTAGGTTAGACCAGTGTTATGGTCTTCGTACAATAGTGTTGATCAGTCCAAAACTATGATGAAACAACTGTCTAGTACTCCTTAATCTCGATCTTAAGTTGTTAAAAGGTGTGTGAGTTCGTCATTGTGAGTAAGTAATTCATTCACCTAGCTAAGGTCACAGTTCACATATCCTTGTCTTCGTCAGTCCTTTAAACCATGTACACACATGATTCGTTTACATTATCATACGGTTATTGCAATAAAACCTATAGGGTAGTACTTCTGTTTTTCTATAAGATGTGCTGATCAAGTGTTTATAAGTGTGGATCAATAACTAAAGTTAATGTCAATCTCAAGATTAGGCTGATTTCCACAATATATATTAAATAAAATTTCAAGCACTTTGCAGACAGATTTTTCTACCTGACATCAACTAAGAAAATGTTTTACATAGCGAATTCAATTTATTATTTAGGTCTCCATAAGTGAGGATCTCAGTCACCAACTGAATAAAACATACATTCATAAATAATATAGAAGCCAGTTCACAAGTAACCTGATTCTAGCTGCAACATATCTGTAATCAACAAATGGAAGAGCTGACAAGATTCATATGATGCTGCCAATAACGAAGAAAAATTAAAACTAAATTAATTAAATAAATGGAAACATATAAGGTGACGTTTTCAACATAGACTATTATAGCTAAACGTCAATAACCATTAAATTCAGTTTCCGTTTGGATCTAAATCAGTAAAACTTAGTCTCTCTACAGAGTTAACACTAACAGTAAAAGTCCTAAAGGATTGGTGATGTCATAATTTGATTAATTTGTATCTATTTTTTACATATATTAGCTCTTGAGGGATAATATATACTAATTGGAAGGAATGACTAATTTTAGAAAGTTTCCAATATACTAGACAGATCAACCAATTCAACCTCTTAACCATGTTATTAAGTCTTAACAGAAATAATATAACCAGAATCTGAGAATGCTGAAAATATATCTTGAAAATGAGATTTTTATTGCAAGTAAGTAGTGTAGAAAATAATGATTGATATTTCCTTTTTCAGTACGGGGTTGTAGAAATTGTTGAGATTTTTATTGAGATCATGAACCGATGACTGCTAAATCACCATCGAAAACCTGGAAGTCGTGACCAGTGTAGCTAATCCGTATCGAGTAGAGACAAGTATCTGCCTCATACAACGAAAGATGGTCGCGCAATTTCGTGGATTGGTTGAATAGTGCTTTCAGGTTTTCAATGGCGGTCTAACTTTGATCCCAATAAAAAACTTTCTTTTTATTTTTATACTTGCGATTCGAAACCAGTAAGATCTGAGAATACACTCTTTTTCTTCTATTCTATGCTTTAACTGGATGAACAAGGAGTACACAGAAAGGTTACAGATAATATTTCTAGAGTAATTATCACGTTATAAATATTTTAACAAGATAACACTACAGAAGTGTTAGTTTGTAGCAAAATAATATTAATGATGACATTAACTTCGTTCAAGTATTTATAAGATCTACAGTATGGTTAATATTCTGTTTGTTTACTAAGATTAAGTTCGAAATGGCTTTCTGAAAGTTATCATGAAAACAGTGAAGGCAATCAAGCGTGAAATAATACATAAACTCGCTAATGAAATTAAATGAAAATCATAGATAACCTACTGCCTCTATCTACAATATGATTGCCTTTAAAGCTTATCTTTGAAAAAATCCTCTCTCTTTAATTTATGAGTAAAGTTGTAAATATATCTTTTGCTATTTAAACAATGCTCAGTTACCTGATTCGCTGATAACTGCTTTGTACTTCTTGACTTCTTATTCTTCCCAATCAACTTGTCAAGATACTAAAACTTAAACACATTTTAAATATTTTATTATTAGGAAACATTGAAAAAATTTCATAGTATGTAAGTTTTATATTTCCGAATCACGAGGTTGCAGCTACGATGTCTGAGTAGACGTCGAAACATTCACTCATCAAAACCAAACTTAACCGAATTATAAAATAAAGTTACGTAATCATCTTTGCTAAATAGAGTATATGAAAGTAAAGAAGAAGGAATAAAAACAAAATATGGTCCAAAAAGCTAGTAGTATCACAAAAAATGCTATAAATTTACAGATTGGTTTGATAAAAACTTACCACTAGGTATCAATTTACTATAACTCATAATAATAAAAAGTGAATAATCTTTGACATACTCGAAGAAATACTATAAAATACAAGAATTTATATAGACTAGCTACAATTTAATAATTTCAAACAGTTTTTATTCGAATCCAATACGAATTTGTGTAAAAACCTTTAAGTGTGACAAAAAGAATGACAATTTAAAGTTTTATGTTAAAAAAAGAAGTATATTATGTTTGTTACACTGGCTTGACTGAAATCAAATGAGTTCTATAAGCAAACTGACGGAGTAGAAATGGAGTCACCACTTGGCTGACTTCTAGCTGACTGTTTTATTGTTGATCTCGAAAATACTATACTTAAACGAACAATTGACATCTGTCTATACACGAGATATTTGAATGACATCTACATCATTTATGACAAAAATATCAATGACAGTCAGAATACGTTTATTAACTGACATCAATCAATTAAGTTCACAACTGAATCAGAGTTAGATTTGGAATTTTACTTCTTAGATGTTTTAGTAAAAAGAAGACCTAACGGTTCACTACAAAGATCTGAAAAATAGACTTTCGAGATCTCTAAATAAAGTTATATTCAGCTGAACTTCGTACTGTTTTCTAATCGACCTACGATTCGAAGTTGTATGAAGAATAAGCTCACGATTTGGGTCAAACCAGTTTTCATGTAACACTTTACTTGCTCATATGGGGCAGGTTATATTGGCCGCACAAAACGAGCTCTTTCGGAACGTATCTCTGAACATTACCCTGCCTGGTTTTCCAAAGGTTTACAGGAGTCAGTCAAAAGCTCAATCTTGGAGTACCTAGTCAATTTTAGTGGCTCCACTTCACCACTAGCTTGCTTCAAAATCATAGATGCAGTCAGTAGAGTTGGCCAAATAGTAATGCAAATGAAAAACGTATGTATAGCAGAGGCTATTGCTATCCACCAGTTCAAGCCTAATCTTTACAAATAAAAGCAGTATGTTCAGCCCCCCATTCTTCCATAGTCTTAACCTCCCTTTCTATCTTTCATTTTTAATTCTTATATTTTATTATCTCTACTCCTCTCTAATTATTTTCAAAACTATTAACTAGCAAATATTACAACTTCTAATTATTCTGTTCTAATAGTTCTCAAGTGGACAATTACTTTTACCTTACCACTTTCAATCACCGATTATTACATAACTACTCTTCAATATCTGATTTTCATACACAATTCATGACAAGATACCACCAGAGTGAACATCAACTCTGAGATGCAGGTACATCTAGCCGACGAGTTCCAACTAAGACGAAACGCACGTCCTACATTCCAGTGATAGCCACTATCCATCTTTGTTTAATAAGCTTGTGACTTAAGGCTATATCGAGGCAATCCGCACAGAATGCTCATATACCAATAAGAGACTGATCAATTGCAGTCCCAAATATCAAAGGGAAGAGACAAGTAAACAACACCAAGTGAATTTATACCACTTTAAGTTTTAAAAATATTCTATTTGGCTATAGACTACTATTTTAGCAAATTAACAAAAAATACGATTGTACAGCTAAAAGTAAATGAGTCCATAATGTTTAACAACAGTTTTAAAAGTACTGCTAGCCTTTCCCTTACTTAAAATAATGTTTTCATGTATATTATAACCATTTATTGATTTTTTTTCAACTTACCATACGATCTGT